GCCCCAAGTGAGGCAAGTAGGCTGGGCGACACCTGTCCAAGGGTGGGATCCTGAGCGCATCCCTTCCCTCAGACGAGTGCAGCTTTTGGGAAGGCTGCAGCTGAGGCAGTATTTTCAGGAGCTGGGAGAATGAAGTGCTTTCTCATGGCGTGGCAATACCGCCTGACCCCCGGGGTACCACTTCCTGTTGGCTCCTGAGTCCTTCTAATGTGATCCTGGCCGTTTGGATGGCTTCCTCGCCATCTGGTACGACATGACGTTTTCGTCTCCTCCGACACATTCCCTGCTCCACACCTGGACATTCTGCAGATCACTTTCCCAAGAGGCCCTGATTTCTTTTGGGGGGAAATTGTATTTCAAGACCGCAATCTGGGCCCTAGGAATACTCCTTGCTAGATGTCGCTTGCTTCTTATGACCAGAAACCCCCAGCACTTTTTGTTTTGTTTCTTTTTAAATTCTAATATTTTTAGGAGAACACATTGCCCACCCCTCAACCTCCTTCTTTGCCCGTGTCATCTATATCTTTCAGAGGGCGGCTCTGCCCAGCCACCACGCCCCTGACCTGAGTAAGAGTCATCCTACCCACGGGCTCTCCCCTCCCACCTGCGGTCCACGTCTTATTCACGGCCGCAGCCCAGTGCCTAACTCACAAAGGGTATTCCACGAATATTGGTTGAGAAGACTCAAAGTGGCTACCACTCTCCTGGCAGTTGGCGTCCCACTCACAGGGAGGCTCTGCCTAGCTTTTCTGGTAGCCAGAGGCAGATCTTCGGTAACTAAGCTGCTGGACTAAATTCCTGTCTCCACCCCCAGCAAGAATCACATGCTAATATCAGCATGCCACAGGGCATCCCATCTGGACCATGCACTTCCCAGAGCCAGGGACTGTTCCTACCACTGGGACTGTGACTCCTGGCTAGCCAGTTGTGGGATTCCCTCTTTGCATTTACTGAGTTTAGCTGTAACCAGCTGGGGTTTGCAAAGCACAGTGTCCCACCCCGGCCTCCCTCAGACAGCAGGTGGGACTATCCCAGACTGCTCGCTGAGGTCCTGGATAACTGGGAGTGTTAGCACTGACCATTTGGAAGGATGGGTAGGCAAGGGAGAGAGAGGCTGGGGGATGATCAGCAGCCAGTACCAGGTGACTGTGGGACACTAGATCGGGTGATTGGGAAAAAGAAACTATACACACACACATACACACACACACACAGAGCCAGGCCCTTCCACCTCCCCTCCCCGGGTGGGAGCTCTTTGGGCTCAAGGCGGCCTGACACCCGGCCCACGGTGTCTCCTCAAAGCATGTCTGTTACACGGCAGCAAGGAGAGACAGGAGGCTGTGTGAGTGGGACATGCCCCAGTATCTGTCCCCTCGCCCCTGCTCCTGACCGCAGGGGCTGCCAAACTCAACTATAACACTTCCAGCCAGAGATGTTGATGGCTCTAACAGGAGGAGAGGCAACAGGACCCACGGGCTAAGGCCATCCATCAGATTTACATCAAGGTAGACAAGCTCCCCACCTCTGACTCTTCTAGAGTTTACTGGACACCATGAAATGCTTTTTTAAGCTACACCGGAAACTAGTTCTCTACAGAGTATGGTATACGCAACACTCCAGAACTTTCAGGAGACCAGAGCTTCAACATAAATAAGAATGCACTCCAAACATTTATTCAGTTCTGCGATCTCCGCACTCCATCACTGCCTCCACGTACCTCCGGGTGAGCCTGGATGGGGCCACTAGGGACTGAGGAAGGGGGCCCCATCACGGGGCTGCCCCAGGAGGGCCTGTGTGCCACAGGCTGGCCACGCACGGCTGGATCCGCGCTGGGGGCAGGGGAAATGTCTCCCAGCCCCAGACAGCCCGGTCAGATGTGGAAACTCCAGGCCTCACAGCTCAGCAGGGACATGGTGATGCCTCCTCCCTCTCTCTGCACAATCTGCAAGCTGCCCGCTTCGACCCAGTCTCAGGTGACAGCCTGAGACCACAGCCAGGTCCAAGGCTGCCTCACTGCTCATGAGGTGTCTTCTCTGGTAGAGGCTCTCCAAGATGGCAAGGAAGCACCGGGCTCCACCTGGCAGGTCGGCTGGCTCTCAGGCTGGGATGCTTGACCCCTCTCCTTCGGGGCAAGCAGGGCACAGCCAAGGTCGTGGGTGTGGCCGAGGCAGGTGACTGGGGGCATCAGGCTGGGACACTTTCGGGGCTCCAGCCTCGCTGCCACTTTCTCCTGTGGGGCTCTCTACAGGCTCAGTGGACGCCAAGCAGAACTGGAGGAAAGGGCATTTGAGTAGGAGGGGGAGGTCGGAGGAGAGGCCCAGTGCGAGACCCGGAAACAGGAGGGGGGTGGGCCGGGGTGATCACGGGGCCACCAGGATGCCCAGGGGCAGCAGCAGACACAGAAGTGGGAAGGAGCCTGCTGAGTCCCAAGAGCAAGCCTGACTCAGGTGATCAATGACCCAGTCCTTGTAGAAACTAACTTCTGTATAAACTCCAGGATAATTTCTGCGACCGCAGCCAATGCCCCAACTCACAATCCCCACCTGGACCCATGTTTCATTAAATTCACAGACCAGGGGCCCCCCAGAGTCTCCCTGGAGAAAGAGGAAAAAAGTAAACACAGGAATGAAAGAGAATCAACATCAGAACTGGCGGATCGCGCTGCAAGGCTTGGGGAGACAGGCACACGTGGGGCTTCCCCAGGACCCTCCCTCCGCAAGACATCCACCAGCCCTAGGTTCCTGGGAATATCAGATTTAAGGGTTGAAAATTCAGCAAACAAAATTCATATACGTATGCAAAAAAATCATGTACCAAAAAAATGGAATATAAACAAAGAAAATGTCCATACTCTGAGCTAATCATAATGAAGAACGTCTTTACCTGAGCACACTGCCGGTCACATAGAAAGGGGTACGAAACATGTGACTTGCATTTTTGGTATTTTCCGCCTGAATCTCCCCTCCTCTCCCAACCCCCTCCAGGCAGCACCAGGTCCTCCTGCTAAAGGATCCAGGCAGGCCAGCCCTGCCAAGCCTTGGCAGCTTGTCCCCTTGAGTCCCCTTGCCGTGAATTAAGGGTGAATGGAGGGGCTGCTGGATAACACGGGCCCCGCTGCCTGTCAGGGGACCACAGAATGGCAAGACGGCCAAGGGCCTATGAACTCACCTGGCAGGCATCCTTTCCTTGGGCATTGTAACCACAGACTGTCCCTTCCTTGACTATGTCACTACTAGTTTCCATCTGGGTTTGGAGCATCGTGTTACATTTCTCATAACGGATAATGTTTAGCTCAGCCTCCTGTAGCCTTTCGGCAGCTTCTTTGGACTGATCTGTAGAAATAATTTAGGAGTAGGTGGACCTGCCTAATGGAACGGGACAGGAGCCCCTCATACCCACTCTTGGTCTCAATACAGTGTGTTCACATACAGACACCCCATTAGGGGAGTGACTGCGGTCCCCGTTTGACACCAAAAGAGATGAAGCCCAAAGCTGACGTGGGGAAAGGAGGAGGTAGGAATCAAAATGAGACCGGAGAAGGAACAGATCAGGACAGGAAGAGCTGAGGCCTTACCAGCCCCGAGAAATCAAAACCAAACTCCCTGTCACTCTGAGTATCCTTAGTAATCGTGACAGTTGTCCTGTTATCAGTGAAGGGACTTTACTTTTGAGCAGGATCATAAACTCTTGGACAAGTAGTGTCCCAAAGGTACCAAATCCAACCTCTCCCCGGGGATGGGAGGCCCAACAGCCTCACCACGAGGAGTTCTCTGGGCTCTTTTCATTCACAGGAAGCTCCCCGTCCACCAAGGCAAGGACTTGCAGTTTGGGACAGCTCCCATGAGCAGACACATCAACACCAACACCCCACTGGCTAAAATCCACCCTAGAGAGAACCCACTTTGCTCGTCACCTGAGACCCCAGGTCCTGAAATTCTAATCGAAATCTGAAACACCATCAAATTACTCCCTACCAGCATCTTCTCCACCCGCCTCCCTTCCCCGCTTGCTAGAAAATGGCCTCCTTGCCTCCCCTTTTAGCTTGCAAGCCAACCACAGGGCACGAGGCAGCCTCTTGCCTGGCCTGAGCTTCAGGTCTTGCTTCAATCTTACCTGCTTCGTTGAGCTTCCCCCATCCAGTCACCCAGCACTCTGTACCAGCTTGTACCATGAACTCCTTTTTAGGGAGGCACACGGGCTGGATGTGGGAGGAAAAATTCACAGGGAACTCAAGCAGAACAAGGGCAATGTCATTCTCAATTAATCCAATAGGATTGTAATGTTGGTGAATAACGATGTCTTGGACGGGGATCTCGACTGCCATTCTGGAGGTATGCTTCATGAAGATGTCTCCCAGCTTTGCCGTGTACTCCACATGGCTGCAGAGAGATCCTAGAGGCTCTACACTCCCCTTCCACATCTTCTGGGCCTTCCCAGCCTGGGCCTCTCTCCATCAACCGCTTCCCTCCCTCCATCACCACGTCCCATCCCTGGACCCCTGGTCAATCTATCCAGCGGCGCTCCAAGGCTGGCTCCCCAGGGAGGAGCGTCAGCGTCACCTGGGAACGCGTTAGAGATGCAGATGCTCGGATCCCACTCCTGATCTACTGCATCAGAGACGCTGGGGGTGGGGGCCAGGCAATCTGTGTTTTAACAAGCTCTGCAGGTTTATCCAGGCTCGAAAGTTGGAGACCCCCGATCTAGCCACAGTGGTCTACTACACTCCACTCTTCTTAAATATTCCCCCTCGCCAGTCTTTGCCCACACACTGCCTCTCAACTGGCATCCCTCCCATTTCTTGCCACTTGGCTTGAAGGCGAATCAGCACGAGCTTTGAACCTGATTTGGGGTCTTGACTTTTCAGGCTACCAAGGGCCCTACCATCACCTTCCTCTGACTGCAGTGTGCAGAGCAGAGTCTACGACCCCCTTTCTCAGATGAGGAAGAGGAAGCTCGGGGAAGGGGTTAGGACGGGCTCCAGGTCACAGAGCCCCAGACACTCACCCAAATATGCAGTGGGCCGCGGTCAGCACCCACCGACTGGCAATGAGGGAGCCTCCACACATGTGTCTGTCATTGATCTGCAGGCTCACCTGCCAGGGCCACTTCCGCTCTGCGGCCGGCAATCCCCCAACTATCCTCATAGACCTCTGGCCGCATCCTGCAGCAGGTCAGTGAAGGGAGGGGACTGAAAGAAAGCCACTGACAGCACCACCCGCAGAGCCGGATAATGCTCAGAAGTCTCAGAACCCTCAAAGCAAGGCCCATGTCCCCTCAGACCGCCCAGCCCACCCCCAGAGCGGCGCTCTATCCCCTAAGGCTCCTCAGAGAATGGCCGCACGTCCCCTCCGAGCTCAAGCGCAGGGGTGGGGTCACTCCGAACCCCCCTCCCCTGGGAAAAGCCATCTCCCCACGAGACCCTCCCCCAGAGCACGGTCCCGGCCCCCGCGGCCCCGGCCAGTTGTCCCCGGCAGGGCCTGGCCCAGAAACATCACCTGCAGGGAACAGCGGCTTTGCTGTGCTTAGTGGCTTTGCCATGGCCCCAGCCCTGTAGGAGCCAGAGGCCCCTGGGGTGACGGCCACCACTTGGGGGGATGCGGCAGCCTCTTGGGGCCCGGGGGGCGCAGACGGTCCCTCAGCCTTCCACACGCTCGCGCCGGGGCCCTCGCGGCCGCCCCCCGACGACGACGGGGAGGTGGGCGCCGGGGACGGTGGGGGCGGCGCGGACCCCCCCTCCGCCTCACGGAGCCGAGGCTGGAGGAGCAGGAGCCAGAGCAGGAGGCCCAGGGAGCCGCCGGGTGGGGACGCCATGGGCCCGCCCGCGCCGCGCCTCTCGCCGCGCCCTCTCGCGGCGGCCCGCGGCCCTGCGCTCGCGCGGGCGGGAAACTGGGTCCCGCCGCGCCCCCTGGGGGGGCCTGACCGTCGGGGAGGCTCTTCATCCGGGCACCGACCGCCGCGGCCGGGCGTGCAGCGCGCCTCGCCCCCCTCCTCCGTTGCCTGCTCGCCGCCGAGATCTGGTCCGCCGGGCGGACTCGAACGCGCTGCCCCGGGCGGCACCGAGCGCTGCCTTGGAGATGACACTGCCCCTCCGCGGGAACAGAGCCCTGAGCCAAGTGCAAACGGAAAGCGCGGTGAGATCTCACGACCCACGGAACAGACTGGCGAAGATAAACAGTCGTACAACACCCAGTACTGAGGCGGATGCAGAGGTACTGGATCACTCAGACGTTGTGGTAGGAAAGTAAAACACTACAGCCACTCCGGAAGACAGACTGGCAGTTTCTCATAAAACAAAATATGCAATTCCCATACGACCCAGTCATTGCATTCCTGGGCATTGACCCCAGAGAAATAAAGCTGTATGTACACACACACACACACACACACACACACACACACACAC